ACGGACACCTGTCCAGAGGGGGTGCGGGTTGCAGGTGGGAGCTTAGTCAGTCAAGCTGAAAATAAACGTGCGGTGACACCACCGTGCCCAGCCCGGCAGCCGCCTCCCCTGGCTCCCGCTGAGGTCACCTGGGCTCACAGCTCCGCTCTGCTGTTGTAAGTTCTGTGATCTCAGGCGAAGCACGTACATTCTCCGAGCTGGTTTTCAGCCTCACGCGGGCCGAGGGCACCTGTCCCCTGCTGCTGCTTGGCCAGCGAGCGGCTGGACTGAGGTAAAGATACGGTTTCAAGGACTCTGCAAACAGGAACATCTAGTGTGAGGCCACCGACCCCCTGTTTGAAAGTTAAGGCGGGAGAGAACAGAACCGAGCAGCAGACAGCAGCCCCGTGAGGACCGCGCCACACGCGGGGCACAAAGCGCGTTGACGGCACCATCCCGAGCGTTCCCGTCCCCGAGCGACAGCTGGCTGGTTTAGCGTTGCCGACATGTTTATCCTTCATGCGTTTTTAAGCCAGGCATTGTAACTGTGACGACTTTGTCTCAGCACAGGTCCACCTCTCCAGGACCCAGGGGCTGGCCTTCTGTACACCTGTACCGCCAGTCCGGGGGGCGGGGTGACAAGGCGGCTCTGTCACCAGAGAGGGGCAGCTGGGAGCCACAACCAGCTCACACCCACCACAGCTGGGGGTGGACACCCAGGCCACACAAGGGATCCTGGGCGGACACTGAAGGCTGCTTCTCCAGGAGGCAGGTGCATGTGTACAGAACCATCTTTCATGGACAGTCTAGAATGCCGCCGGCTTTCGTGACAGTCCCCATCGTCACCGCCTCCCAGGCCCCCGACCGCGGTCACACCTGCCCTCTGGGGCGTCTCACCCTGTGTCCTCTCTGTACTTTAGGCCCACGTGGCCCCAGAGAGCCGAGGGTCGGGGTGGGGGTGGGGGGTCTGCAACCTGACTGTCTCACTCCTCGTCCGAAGCTAGAGGCACAGGGTTCCCGAAGCAGGTGCCGGCCGGGGCTGGGCCTGGCTCCGCAGGGGACTTAGGAGCCTGGCTTGAAAAGAGTGGGCAAGTAACTTAAGCGCCGTCCTGGATCCACACCGCAGCCTGCCACTCTCACAACCGGGCTTCGAGCAGGTGTTCGTTACTTCCTCTTTGTGCACATGAGGCCCTGGAGGCTCATTCTGGAACCTCCAAGGTCACGGGGAAAGGGCGGGAGCCCGCCCAGGCCCCCGGAGGCCGACCCCTGGAAGCCCAGGCGCGGGACTGGGCAGAGCAGGACACAGTGATGGCGGGCGGCGGTGACCTCAGTGTGTCGGCTCTCCTGGGAGCCCCTGAGAGGGGACGGCTCTGGCCCCCAGCGATGGTGCCGTGTCCTTAGCTCCTTTGCTCCCAACACTGTTTACTGAGCCTCTACTTACTGAGATGGCGGAAGGACCCGGACCGGAACCCGGGTGTCCAGACTCCACTTCCGGGGTACGTTTGGGAGGATCTCACCGCTTACCCTAGAATTCAGACCAGTGAACGACAAGTGTCACCAATATCGACCCGGCACTTTGCCCTCCTAAGCGTCTGATTCATTAGACAGAAAGGCGAGATTCCGCGTGCCCTGAAAGGCTCCAGGCGCGAAGGTATGCGGCAGGCAGGGCAGGAAAGCGGGCGCCGTGGCCTGTCACCGCGGGGCGGCAACAGCCGGGAGGGGCGCAAGCTCTCTGCTGGGCCGGGCTCACGGCGACCGTGCGGGGTGACCCTACCTGTGCTTTCCTTCCAGGCCCACTCCTCCGTGGAAAGAGCCAGCTTGGTTGGTGGAGTGAGATTAAAAACCATCCCTTCAGATGACAAGTTTGCCATGACTGCTTCTGCCCTGCAGGAGGCCCTGGGGAAGGACAAGGCCGCTGGCCTGATTCCTTTCTTTGTAAGTTCAACAGACGTGCTGCCTAGGTGCCCCTGGGGGCATCTGAGCCTGGCCCGGGCCTGGGGGAGGGTCCGGGGGCCAGGCCACTTTCCAGGCTGCTCGGTGGCTGTCAGCCTGCTTCTCCCTGACGAAGGCTGGAGGGAGAGTCTGTTTATTTTCCCTTCGGCTGCGCTCATCTCAGAACTAAGCGGAGAAGCCAAGCCTGCAGGATTCTGCTCAGGTGAGACGCCTCGTTTCTGCTTCCTCTTAAAGTGATGCCGTGTGATCTGACTGTGGCGGTTCTTTGTGCCCTGGCAGATGCTCTGTCATGAGGAGCGTATAAGGCACATGGCAGCATGTGGCGCCAGGTGTGGTGGCAGATAAGCAGGGTGTCACCTGGCTGCACATCGGAACCACGGGAGCTTGGAGAAGTTCTGATGCCCAGGCCTGGTCCCAATTCCATTGTGTGAATCAGCCTCTAGGGACAGTTCCCTGCAGCTCGAGGTCCGCATGTGTGCCCAGGACTGGGAAACGCTGCTCACATGGGCACTTGTCATTCCCTGGGGTTCCCAGCTGTCAGAGCCATCCAGCTTTGACAGACAGCAAAGGTGCAGAGACATCGAAGATCACAGGACATTCGAGGAAACGCAACCGATCTGTCTTAAATGGGCAGCCAAGGGACCTAGGAGCTGGGGACGGAGGCCGGCTGGCTGGCCCAGGGGGCAGCTGGAGCCCTAACTCACATCTGGGGGTTGTCAGCCTGCACGTGCGCTGTAACTCCAGGCTTAATTCTGAGGTGCGTGCAGCCTTCATTATGTGCTCAGAGGGGTTGCAGGCCCCTCACAGTTTGAGCCCTCCACTGAAAGCAAGGGGTGCGTGTGGCAGGTTTGAACCTGGAAGGCTGTCTCTGCCCTCCACAGACTCCTGGGGCTGTGACAGCCTCCCTGCTTCCTCCCAACAGTGTGCCATCCCCTTGAGAAAGTCAGGCGACAGGGCCCGCGGGGATGTAGCTAATCAGAGCAGGCGGGTCCCAGGTAGGAGGCAAAGGAGAAGGCTCTGGAAGGGAGTGGGGTCTGGCAGCGGGAGCGGCACAGGCTCTCAGAGGTGGGGCGCCTGCCTGCATGCCCCCACCCTCCCCCTGAACAAATGTGATTATGCCTTTGCAGTGTGGCTGAAATCAGGTTAGTGTCACCGAGCTGAGCCAGGGTAATCGGACTCGAGCCGAGCAGCTGCTTGGTGTCAAAGCGGCTTCTGAGAATTCAGGACGAGCTGACTCGCAGCCATCCAGAACGTGCTGGGCGTGCGGGGCCAGCCCAGCACTTCTCAGGGGGAGCCCAGCTGCCCCCGCCCTACCAGCTCCCCTTGTTGGCTGCACGGTCAGAAGGGACTCTGGCAAGGCCCAGAGTGCTGGGCTCTTTAACTGGCAGGACACAAGAGTTGACCACGCCTGGTCACCCCCTCGGCATGCTCCTGCCTCTCTGTGTGTCCTTGACTCACCTCTGGAGTCTCACTGGGGTCCGTGTAAAGTAGGGATCACAACCTAGTCTAACTCATGAGGTCGTTGTGATGACTGAACGTGATATCTGCAAAGCCCAGGCCTCAGAGGAGGCGCTCAGGAAATGCCACCTCCTCTTAGTTCCAAGTGAGGCCACGCCCAGGACTAGGCAAGATTTGTTGTTTTAATAAAATGCTCCATGCCCAAAGAAAAAACATCAATAATTACATAAAAATCTAAGAATAAAGGTTTATATTAACCAAAATCTCATCCTAGGACAAAAAATATTGCTATTTGGCCAACACCATTCCAAGCATGCATGGACAGAAAACAGTTTTAAGGAGGGGATATTTAATATTCATATAATTTAAAAACGTTATTAATTTTGTTCGATTAGAATTTAACTGAGGAAAACAAGATGAAAGGGGGCACCGCTGAGTGACAGACCGTCGTTTCTAAGAGGCTCTTAAAACAGAAAACAAATGATAAGCAATATCAAGACGGCTGAATCATCCTGTGGTTTTTTTTTTTAACTACATAATTTTTACTATTCTTTTAACTACAGAGACAAAGCATTTAAAAAGTGCCACCTACAGAGCCGGGTGCCATAGACAAAGCGTTTTAGTTCTCAGTTACTATCAGGAAGAAAATGCAAATGCCAGAGAGAAACGCCACACTGACTTGAATTCCCACTTGGTGACCGTCCTGTCCAAAGGGAGCAGAGGGGAGAGGCTGAGCCTGGCCCCGGGGTGGGGGGGCGCCCACAGAGGTGTGCGGAGGGGCGTGGTGGGGCCCTGTGGACCAGGCAGCGACCACTCCGGTGCGTTTGTGTTTAAGTAGAAAACCCAAGCCCCGCGACCTCGCTGGGTGACAGACCGGGCCTCCGACGACTCTGGTCCTTTTGTCCCAAGTGCTTGGCTTAAATGGCCGTGTATTCATCGTGCCTTTTATGTTCTGTATTTCTGATGCTTTGACATCCGGGGCTTCGCTGACCCCGCAGGCCTGTGCACAGCACCGCCCCCCGCCCCCGATGGGGCTATCACACGCGGTCACCAGCCCCCTGCCCTGGTCACCCGGGGCCAGGGAGCAGGCAGCGAGGACAGCCCGACACCCCGCAGCAAACGGAAATAATTCCCGCCAGCCACTCCCCTAGGCCGCCCGCCTCGCCCACTCCCCCCACAGACAGCAGGTAGGGCCGCGTCCCCAGCGCATGATGACACGCTCGCGCTCGCTCAGAAGGCATCTTTAAGGGCTGTTGCCCACGTCACACTTGCTGGCGAACTCCTGGGGAGCATCTCCCTGTGAGGTCCATGTCCCTCTTGAGGAACAGCAGGTTCAGAAGGGAAAGTGACACTCCCAGCCAGACTCCCGGGAAGGGCTGAGCCGCCCCCAAGGCTGTTCTAGAAGATTCCACCATGTCCTAAGAGCGCCAGCCCTGTTGGGTGCACACCGCTGCCGGCGTGCGTGCTTGCTGTGCACACGTGCATACACACTCAGATATGCACACACACAGTCACACACAGACACACTCGCACACACAGACGCACACACAGACGAACCCACAGATCCGCACAGAAACGCACCTCCCCAAACTAAGAGGAAACCCAGACTTCCTACCTCACGGAAGGAACGGCCTGAATGGACGCGCTGTCGGCCAGCAGAGCCGGGGACGCTGGTGGCGGGGTGGGCTTTGTCTCTGGCCCTCGGCCCCACAGGGGTCATGCATGGCCCCCTCCAACCAGGCAGAGGTCCTGCCAGTGAGTCCGTGTCTCCTGACAGTGCCTGCTGCTTCCAGAGGCACGTTCCACCCCGCAGACGCCCCGAGCGCCTCATCCGCGGCCCTGGGCGGTGGTTGTGCATGCGGAGGTTTTGACCGTGACCCAAACATGGGGGCTTATGAGAACGTCTGCTCTTTACTCTCCAGGTGGTAGTGACCCTGGGGACCACACCCTGCTGCTCCTTTGATAGACTTTCGGAAGTGGGGCCCCTGTGTAAGTATCGCTTGCATCTTCTTCTGGGAAAGTTCTCGGTACTCGGCGCTCGGGGAATCTCGTACACCTTTCTCTTGGGTCTTTCTTCCGTCATAATAGTAACTTAATATTATAATACGTGTAATAGTATCATACAGAATCTTAAACAATATGTTACATATTAGTACGATATTATAATAGTAACATAACACTTAACATTGTGGTGGTTTGCCAGGCTCTCTTCATATTTGTAATAACGCAAATCTCATGAGCGTGAACTCCACAAACTCAGAGTTTGGGCAAATTGGACATGAACAGTGCTTAGCGATGCCAACGCACTATTAAAGACAAACAAATGAACAACGGTTCCAAGCAGTATAAAGTGACACGTGTGTGCATGGCTAAGTCGTTCTGTCATAGAGAACACACTCCTCAATCCCTAGTATCCACACTTCACCCAAGGGTCCTCTGCACAGATGACATGGGTGTCACCCGCACTTGAAGTCAGTCTCCCAGCATATCTGTTTTCAGCCTTCTTGAAATCACTGAATGTTGTTAAGCAAATTAGTTAAGGTGATTAAGCAAATCGATAGCAAAAAACTGGATTTCTCCAAAGAAGAAGCTGAGCTTCCCGTGCTTTACTGGGCCACTTCCTGCGCACACACGCATGCTTACACACAAACACACACACACATGTACACGCACACGGCACTGAGGTTTTCTCCCAGAGACTGGAATTTGTGTTTTTCAGAGGAGAACTGTGGGTAAGAGGTGGATTTTCAAGGCAGGGATTTCCTAGGCCTTCCCTCTTTTGGGGGCACCCACTCATGAACGACCATTGCTCTGTCCTCGGGCGTGACACTCCCGTGGAGCTGCTGCCCTGGGCAGGTGGAGCTAAGTCCCCAAAGTTGGGCGTTTCCTGGAGCCGGCCAGGCCCTCAGGCCACATGCTGTGGCTCGGCAGGTCACCTGCAAACCCTCGTGGGCCGAGCAGCTAGGCGACCCCTTTGACTCAGGTGTCAGGCTGAGGACTGGCTATCCGGACGGCGGCAGCTCACGTGACTCCGTGGCTATCAGTTTAGAGGGCCGAGGTCTTCTGCAGGGCAGAGCCCGCACGGCCCTGAGGGCCCCTGAGCCCCAGGGTGGGCTCCTCGCTGGAGCAGGGAGATGACAGCCTGTGGGAGGCGCCTGCCAGAGGCCAGGTGTCCTCCGCTCCGGTCAGGCTGCGGGCAGAGCTCGGTTTGCGATGTGTCTGGTGCTGACCGCGGAGGCCACCCTGGGACTGGCTGGGCTGCCGTGGTGGACACCCACCCTCTGGCCACCCCTGGAGTGGGCAGGAGGGTGGCCCAGACAGCCAGCCATGTGTGTTGCTGACAGCACATCACTCGCCGTCGGGAGAGGCGCCCCTTCACCGGCTCCCCCTCGGAGGACAGTTTCCTCCGACCTGAGGCTTTAGGAAAGGCGTTCGCTCAGCTCCTTCTGAAGCCATGGCCAGAGGCGGTTCCGGTTTGTCTGCCTGGCCTGAGGGGCTGGTTCCCTGGCGGGCTCTGCTGAGACGAGGCAGTTGGAAGTGCACACTGGGACTGCGAAGTGGGAGACTGAGGACAGGCCTCCCAGGGCACGTGGAAGGGGCGCCGGGGCGGCTGGACGGGGCGGTGCGGCCCGGCCTCCCAGGGCAGTGCTGGCAGCAGGAGGGAGGGTGGCATGGAGGCAGCCCCTGCCCCCTCGGGTGTGACCCTGCCAAGGCGGCCTTGCCTGGGTGCCGGGGGCCTTGGTCCTGGGCACGTAACTCCCATGCCCTGGCCTCGGGGGCTCGGTGGCCCGCAGTACTTGCAGGGGAGGGCAGGCTGTGCGGCCGGCCGGTCTCGCGACAGGGAGGCAGGGCCCGGGCGGCGGTCTGCGCCCCCGGTGGAAAGGACGAAAGCCCGTTCAGAGGCTCCTTCTGCAGGAGCTTTAGGCCGAGGTGTGGCCAGGGGGCACCCAGCCCTCAAAGACCACCCCGCTCTGACACCCATTCCAAGTTCAGGCTTTCCAAGACCCCCCTCGGGTTCGATAACGCGAAGGAGTCGCAGGACCCCTGGGAGCTAGCCGCTCACGGCTACAGTTTGTTCAGGGGACACGGCGTAGCATGCGGGCGGGGTGTCCAGACTCAGAGTCCTGGCCGTCCTCTCCGGGGTCACGGCCGCTGACTGCTGCTGTGTGACGATGTGCACCTCTGAGCCGGGGACACTAGCCCGAGGTGTCCGTGTCCGGAGTGCGCTGGGGCTCAGTCACGCACTGCCCGTGTGCCGGCCGGCCTCCAGGCCCTCCCGAAGGTCCGGCCAGTTCCTGTGGTCTCTACTCCTCCCAGAAGGCAGAATTGATGTGGCCTGGCCCAGGCCCCCGTCCCAAACCAAGTCATTGCATGGCTTGGGGGCCAAAGCCGGCCGGAGCAGCCTCGCGCCAGGTGCTCCAGGGCCTGGCGTCAGCTTGGGGAGCCGGGGGCAAAGGCCCGCCTCGGGCGAGTTGGTTCTTCGTGGCACACCTCCCTCTGACACCCCTCTTTCCTCCTGAGGCCCCTCGTCGTTCCCAACTCACCACCCCACGGGGCTCCAGTATGCTCTGGGCGACAGCCTGGGGCTCGGCCTCCAGCCCGCCCCCTCCCCGCGACTCGGGGCCAGATCTTCCCTCTGTCTGTCCTGGACGTCGGCCAGCGTGGATGGTCCCGGTGTCACTGTCTTACCACACGACCCTCTTGCGAGGGTGGCGCTGAGGAGGAGGGCATAGGCTGGGGACAAGAGAGCCCTTTCTTGAGCAGCCTCCGCAGCCCGGGGGGCCGCCCTGCTCCAAGACACCGTCTCCTGCCAGCGCGTCTGGGCCGCTGCTTCCCTGGGGACCCCCGTTTGTCCCAGGCTTGCACCCCTCCCAGCTCCCCGCCCATCCATGTGGGCTCCGCAGTGCCTGGGGTGACGAGTCCAAGCGAGGTGAGAAGCCCGACAGCTTCGCCCACAGACGGTCTCCAGGCCCCTCCCACCACAGGTCCCCATGGCAATGTCGTGTCCTCGGGACACTTTGGTCTCGATCTCAGGGCTTTGACCCCTCAACCCTGGAGACGGAACCGAATCAAGGCCTTGACATGCCCTGTGTGTTATCAGCAGAGCTCAGGACAGCTCGGCACCCAGCGCCGCATGACGGCTCGCCAGCCCCACATGTGGAAAAGCGAGCCCCAGACCCATCGGGTGGCACGTGCACCTGGCAGGTGCTGAGCGACCCCTGCCAGTGGTGCCCTGACCCGGCGTCCTCACCTGTGGGGGATGCCGCGCAGCCTCGAGACCTCCCACCTCCATGTTCCATGCCCGAGCTGTGCGGCCCCGGCTGGGGCGGGTGGCGGGGGAGAGGGGGCAGTGCAGTCACGATGGTCACAGTTATCTCTCACCAGCTCTGCAGTAGGTGTTGTGACAGGCACACTGTGTCATCTCCTTTGTCCCCAAGTCACGGTGCTTTTTCATCTGACATTGCTTGGAGGAGGGAGATAAGGCCACCAGACTGCCAGGCAGTTGGAGGCAGGAGCTGGACCCCGACCGTCCGAGCTGAGGGTGTGCATTAAACTGTCTCCCCTTCAGAGAAAGACGTGGCCCTTCCCACAAGGCTATTCACGGCAGGGGCCAAGGACGGCCTCCGGTGGTGTTCAGGGAATGGCGGAGCCTCAAGTGGGAGGGCCCGGGACAGACAGACCCTGCGGCTTGTCTATGCCCTTATGCGAGTGAGGTTTGTGGGGAAGGACTTGAGAACTGTGAGGGGGTGGGGGGCTCCAGGCGG